TCCACTAATAACCTTATTGATAAAAGTCATTGTAAAATGACAATCAATGCACGAGGCTTCTGCTATTGCAGAGTCTAAGAAAGGTTAGATATACACAGCATTATCTCCGCAATTTATATGGGATTGTTTTATTTAAAAGAACCAAATTCTCAATTAATTAGATATGCAAATGCTGGCTATCTCTCTAACCCACATAAAGCTCATTCACAAATAGGATATGCAAATGCTGGCAGCACTGCTATATCATGGCAATCTATAAAATAGACAATGATTGCAACTTCTTCAAATTATTCAGAGATTCTCGCAATTCATGAGGCAAGTAGAGAATGTATTTGGTTGAGATCCATGATCCAACATATTCGAACAACATGCGGTCTCTCATAAATAAAAGATAGCCCAACAGTATTATATGAAGATACTGCGGCATGCATTGCATAGATGAAATAAGGGTATATTAAAAGCGACAGGACCAAGCACATCTCACCAAAATTCTTTTATGCACATGAATGCCAGAAAATGGTGATATCAATTCAGCAGATTCGTTCATGTGAAAATCTAGTAGGTTTATTCACTAAAACGCTTCCAACTACAACATTCAAAAAATTGGTACATAACATTGGAATGTATCAACTATGGGATCTTCAGGGTTGAACTAATGCAACAATGAGGGGGAGCAATTGATCGAAGAGGTATTGGTATACTGTACTCTTTTTCCTTCATTTAGGTTTTATCCCACTGGGTTTTCCTGGCAAGGTTTAAATGAAACAGTTTTAACCTATGCAATACCATTTTCAGATATACAAGAATATTGTATTATTTTTCTTTCGCTAAGGTTTTGTCCCACTAAGTTTTTCTTAACAAAATTTTAACGAAATATGTTCTTAATGTAATAGAGTGGATCCCAAGGGAGAGTATTGTGAATGTGGCATCCACCCATTGAATATTGTAGCACAAGCTATCAGTCTTGGAGGTTAGGCAAAATGGGAAGCACGAAATTGTACTTGTGGAACAAGTAAAGGCTTTGTACAAATCTTATGGCTTGTCCTGCCATTATATATATATGTGCGTTTGGCTGAACGAATTTGATATATATCCAAACAGAGCAACAAAACTTCTTTTAATTGTCTTCTCAATCATTACTTCTTTTACTTTTCTTTGGAATCATTTATCTGATATATTAATATAATCATAAGATTAAGATTATTTTTGGTATTATGAAAATTTTACCAACTCCTTATCATTTCCCTTCAAATCACTCATTAGATATTAACCATCCTTTTTTTCTTGTCTCTCCAAGTCACTCAATCCAAACGAAGCCTTAAGGTTTCAACTTGATTGCAATGCTTCCAGTTTGAATTTTTAAAGTAGTGCAAGGCTTCAACTTGATTGTAATGCTTCCGGTTTGAATTTTTAAAGTAGTGCTTAAAATAAGTACTAAATTCCGGTTCAGTTGATTAAAGCTTTAATCATTTTGTTCCAGTTCGGTTTGATTACAGCTTTAATCATTTTGTTCCAATTGTAAGTTTAAATTCAAGATCATCTCCTGTGTCACATCGCTATTGTGTAAGATGTGTTGCGTAAACAGTGAAGGATGTAAAACACAGGATCCCATTACAAGATTACAAGAGGTAATCCTGGTTCTTCATTGTTTGATGCAAGTATTTCTATATATTTGCACATCTGCATAAAAAGACAGTATTTCAAGATCAGAATGGCAAATGAACAATTATAATTGCCCAATTCATTCCACAACTGATGTGACATGGCGCAGTATAACGACCTTGTTTTACAAGCTGAAATCAGAAACATCCCAAAATATAAAAATATAAATAATAAATAAATAAAGAAAGAAAAACTGTTCTATATATTATAATCCCAGTTCAACATGAAAGAAGTCGATAGATTTTTACAGTGCAAAAGGACCATAGATTGGTCTGGTATATAAGCTTGGATGAGCATTTCATGCAAAATATTGCTAAAGGTTAGGTTTGTATCAAATCTCTCGTAACAATATTCGTTCACTAATAACCTTATTGATAAAAGCCATTGTAAAAGGACAATCAGTGCACGAGGTTTCTGTTGTTGCAGGATCTAAGGAAGGCTAGATATACACAGCATTACCTCCGTAATTGTGCATTACTATAATAATTATGATGTAATATCACCAATTACAAGCATCTGAATTTGACCAATGCCTCAGCCACAAAACTTCACCCCAAGATAATGATGTAAATCTTTTTCATAAACCAGATAAATCAATGGTTACAAAACCAAATATATTCAATGAAATAATAGTACAATCAAAAACGGAAAATTGCCAAGGTAGGGATTCAGTCCCACTAAATCACCCACACATAAAATCGGCATGCCATACAGCTCAGACGGACCATACATAGATGGAATGTCCCTACCTAGATATAGCTCCATAAGCAATAATTGATGAACCCTCTAGCAAACCAAATCAAGGTCTCTATCAATCTCAATATCAGACCAGTAGGTGGATATACATTTTGTTGGCTGTCTAATGCTTTATGTCATACTCAAAGAAATCTAAGAAACCCAGCCAGAACTCATCTCTGTCTCATTGTTGCACACCTTCATGCCATTACTGCTACTGAACAACACACGTGGAGGCCAGAGAAAAGTTGATTAGTTAGTTATCACATACTAGCACCGCACGAAGTCATTAGGAAAAACCAACAAGTCAGTGGTCTAGCGGTACCAAATCCCTACTTCTCAAAGAAAGGTCAGGGGTTCGAGCCTTAGTGGAGGTATGTGTGTGTGAATACCAACCAGGAAAAAAAGATGTCATTAGGAAAAATATCACCTTGGTGTCTGAAAATTGCACACGAGCAGAGGTACTGATGTGGGGCAATAACTCATTCTTTACTTTGAGGTTCAGAAGTCATCATTTATAAAGGAATTGAAGCATGAGACAATAAATAGAAGAAAATTGATGAAAAGCAAAAATGGGCACCACATGGCAGCAAGAATCACTCTGCAAGCAGTAAGACCAAACCACTCTGCAAGCAGTAGGACCAAACCCATTCCCCCCCCCCCCCCACCATGCGGGAAGAAAAAAAAAATGCTGCACGTAAAGCAAACATTCCCAACTTAAGTATTAAATTCTTCTTGCATGTCATAAAGGCACAGCAGTAAGATCACATAGAGCCTAATTCTTAAGTCAAGGAACAGACATTACTGTCAGTTAGTATGCACATCAGGGGGCAAATATACCGCATGTTTGAAGGGCGCAATTATCTTTTTTTATTTATAAGTATTTCAAGGACTCAATTATCATACCTCAGAAAACTCTTTAGGTATCAAACTCCAGATTTTCTTCTCCTTGCAACTAGTAATCAAGGATTCCAAGCAAGAGGATTCTACTAGTGCCAGTCTCTTTGCGTACCTACTGCAAAACTACAGGGTAAACAAGAAGCAAGTCATCTAGGATTTTAACATAACCACGTAAAAATGGCGAGACAATTGGTAATGGCTATGCCTGAGCTTTCTGCTGATGATGAAAAGAATGACCAACCCTGGGCTTTGGCTCTCGGAAAGGTCGTGAAGGAAATGGATAAAGTTCATGAGAAGGAAAGCTACCAGATGGAGCATGGGAGTTGCTTTATCGTCGATTCATCACAGCAACATGCAAGAGAAGAAAAATTAAGTAAGATAAATAGCTTCCAAAGTCGATGTAGGATGCAGAAACAAAGGGCTAAGGACCTGTTTAGCAATTTAAAAAATGAGTCCCCTAAGATGTGGTTTCTGAAAACAGTGATAAAAGAACACATTGTTTTCAGCCAATTTGGATCTTTGACTAGAAAACAAAAACAGAGTGTAGAAATTGCTTGCACGAGTTTTCATGAGTAAGTTCCTGTTTTTTTTTTTTTTTTTTTTTTTTTTTTTTTTTTTTTTTTTTTTTTTTTTGAGCTTTGAGTTGCTTCGGTAATACACACTTTGACAGATTATTTTTAATGAATCATGGATTGTTTGTCTTGACATGGCACTTTGAACTTAAGTTGTCCACATAATCATACAAGTCATCCAACCTAAAATTGATTTCATCCAATTCAAATAATTCTAATTGATTGTTAAGCGGTTTGACTGGCCTGAGAGCATAAGAGTAAAAACAAAAATAAATTCACACAAATAATCAATCAAGTCGGAAGCTAACAGACTTCCCTGAAACTGAACTTCCCCTTTATGCTACAATATATTCCAATAGAAAAATAATGCAAGAACTACAAAAAGAATAGCAAACAAGATTGGAGCAGTAGAACAAAAAAGTGTTTGGAACCCTAAGAATCTTCAATAATCACATCATCCTTAGATTTTCTTATGCAAATTGAATAATTGAAAGGAAATAATTATTCCAACATTATATTGAGGCAACAAAAAAAAAAAAAATGGTACTAACATGAGGTTGAGATTGATTTCATATGGCGGGTATGTAAAATAACTTGCTAAAAATTTATGGATAAATTATTTTTGTTAAATTTTAATATCTTTTCAACTAACACCAGAAAATAAAAAAATATTTTCTGAAAAATATTTTACATCTAAACAAACGTGTGTTGCTAGCTAAAAAGTTGGCCTTCCAAAAATGGGGCAACAGATACAAAATTGAATATGGTTAAAAAGTTGGCCTTCCAAAAATGGGGCAACAGATACAAAACTGAATATGGTTAATTAAGACAATATGATCGATTCACTATTGTCATGCAACATGTGAGTCACCTAGGGGAGCTGTGGAACTGATGTCAACTGCAGATGCCTGCAAAACAGCATAATGTTGATAGCATTCAGCAAGCACCTCAAGACAATGTTGAGCTCATGAAACTTCTGCCATTATAAAATAAAATATTCATCAAACAACATTACTAATCCTCTGGCAAATTTCTTACAGATGCAACTTTGAAAAATACAATTACAAATCACTTTGGTTGAAAATAAAGTTAAATATTTATCAATCACTAGTTTGGTAAGGCTTTGTTGAGTAGACTTAAATTCACTTCTTCTTCTTCTTCTTTTTCTTCTTTTTTGATACGTAAATATCATTGAAAGAGCGCTAAAAAAGTGAGTGCATCCTTGAACAACTGCACAAAAGCCAAAGGAAAAGCTAAATGCACTAATTCCTTAGACTATCCACAAAATCAACTAAATCCCCCTAGATTAACAATTGTTTCTTGCTAATCACTTCACTATTATACATGCTGATATGCAGTAGCTAGCATTTTTTAGCTACATGTGCAAAGCATTTCTGCAGTTGCATTTCCTGTCAAAAGGAAAAGAAAAAAATACAGATTTTTTTAAGTGATATAAAAGGGAAAGAAGGGCATAATGAGACAAAACTGGAATCAGGGGCATCAGATTTCTTTTGTACCTGAATGATATCCAAAAGTTTATGCCCTTCCCTAGTCTGTTACTTGTTTTGGGAGTAAATGAATTCTGTTGAGAACTTGTGATATGAACCAGCTACGAACCTCCAAATGGTGAAGCTAGTATATGCACATGAAGTAGCAGGAAAAAGAAGTAATGAACATGAATTCCCAATAGATGATGATGTAAACCAGGACTAACCCAACCTCTGAAATGAGGGCTTAAGCCTACTGCCTACCTGATAGGCTCAACTGCACAAGTAGAATGGTCTGAAGAAGAAACCCATGAAAAGGCTTCATTTTTTTACATGTCAAACTGATTTGATTGGCTGCAAACCACTAAAACTCTATTTGCCATCACCAATCACCTTCTTCCCTCCACCACACTTCCTTCTACAAGAAGACCCCTCTTTCTCATCTCATCATGCAGTGATGAAACCGCAACAAAATCTTCTAGCTTTAGATAGCCTCTATTCAGGATATCATAAATTGCATAATCAGGATTAATTCCCCTTTTCAACATATCATCAAAAACCTGTCTTGCTTCTATCATGAGCCCTTTGTTAGCCAAACCAAAAACAAGGGAGCTATATGTAAACAAATCAGGAGTAATACCCTCTTCAATCATTTTGTTCTTAAGTTTAAACGCTTCAACCAATTTTCCTTGCTTGCACAACCCAGCAATCCAAGAGGTGTATGCATACTTGTCGGGAACAAACCCTGACTCTGACATCTCCCTAAAAACGCTCTCAACTTCACCTAAGTTCCCTTCATTGCACATCCCATCAATAAGTACAGTGTATGAAACTTCATTGGCCTTTTCTTTGCTAAAATATCCTTTTGCCTCATGCAGATGCCCATGTTTGCAAAGGCCATCCATCAAGGTTGAAAGAGTTACAACATCAGGCTCAAGCCCTCTTCCTAATAATTCTTTGTACTCATTCAGAGCTGCTTTCAGATTCCCAGATTTAAAATGAGCATCCATTAGTGTGGTGAAGATAATATTATCAAGTGCCAGTCCACTCCTCACCATGTCTTCCTTAATTTCGATTGCAGTATCTAACCTGCCTCTATCACAGAGGCCTGATATAACTGCCCCATAGGCCCCTATATCAAGTCTGGTCCCCTGTTCATGCATTCTATTCACATACTTCATAGCCTTGTCCACATTTCCCTTCTTAAACTGCCCGTCTATCATTGAAGTGTAAACAACAGAATTGGGTTCAACCCCATTTTCCAACATCTTTGAAAACAAACATTCAGCCTTTTCCAACATCCCTTGTCTACAAAGGCCATCAATTAAGGCCGAATAAGTAACTACATTTGGCAAAATCGATGACTTATGCATTTCCTCATACAACTCAAATGCGACCTTCGTATTACCAGCTTTACAATACCCATCAATCAAAGAAGTAAAAACAACCGAATTCGGCAATATTCCATCCCTTCTCATACCTTCAAACACTCTAAAACCCATATCCAAATTACCAATTTTGCAAAACATATCAATTAAAGTACTACATGTAACGACATTTGGTGTACAACACTTCCACATCAAACCCATATACACAAAAGCTTCTTTTTCCATTCTAAGCTTACAAAACCCATTGAACATGATATTGAATGTAACCAAATCCGGCCTAACCTGCCCAATACAAATCTGATTCATTATAGAGCCTGCAAGCCTAGTATTGCCTGACCGACAATAGCCATCAATCAAAGAGTTGTAGCTAACAATATCGGGCGAACACCGGAACATTGGCATTGAATTCAAGAAATTATGGGCAGACCTAAGATTACCCAGTTTGCAAAAATATGATATGATTGAATTGCATGATGAGAGGTGAGGAGTGTAACCTTTAGAAATGAAGTAGAGGAGGAGTTTCAGAGAGAGGTCACCGCAGTTGGAGCCAATCAGATGGTGGAGGGACTTGTTGAGTGCGTATGGATTGGGGAACTGTGAGGTCCTCCGCAGGCGGGCGAAGAATTCTAGGGTTTCTTTGATCATGCATGTGGAGATTTCTCAAGGGGTCTGTATGAATTGACCTGACAAACTTTACAGGGCTGTAACGGCTGTTACTCTATTGATGGATACAGCAATTTCAGGGTTTTATGGGTCTTGAGCTTAAACCCTAGAAAACAGAATGGTATAGGAGCCTAGGAGGAACAACCACACACCTCAATCCAAATCAAATAATACCTTTTGACCCGTGTAGACAACGCGCTTTCTGTTTTACAATTGCTCTCCAAAACCAAAATGACAATTTTAACCCTAATTTGAGTAAGTAAATGATTTATTTTTTTAAATACCACAGCTAGCTTTTCAGATAAGGAACCCTTTTTTTTTTTCTTTTCTTTTCTTTCCCTCTCTCTAATCTTTATCTCTCTTTTCATAGGTTACTGCTATCTCTTCTCTCCCTTCATAAATTTTGATTTTAATATTTATTTTTGCAAGTAACAACCAAAAATTTCACAAATAAAGAGATGCAGTGTTGAACAAAATAACTAATCTTGTTAATATGGGATAGTCATATCCTTTGATGCTAATAGTGATGATAATTTTGTTTTATTTTTTTGTTATGTTGTGTGTTTTGGGTTTAGTTTTTATTTTTATTTTTTTTGTTATGTTGTGTGTTTTGGGTTTAGTTTTCTTTAAAAATTAATTTGAAATATTTTTGAATCTTAAAATTTACTTTGTTAATAATAAAATAAAGAGCAGTGATACTTATACTGAACACTTGCAGTGAATTGCCTAACCGAATAATTTTTAATTGGTTATTTATACCAAATACAACTAAGTAGAGGAATCCACTTCTTTATTTGTTGCATAATTGATCAATTAAAAAAATAGGTCCGCAACTATTTGGTACAAGAATCATTTTACCTAAAATAAAATTGCTTATGCCTTGCCTTGAGTAAGAAACTAAAGAAGGACACACAATAGTATCATTTTATTCTTATTTTGTCTTTGCTTATATTAGGGTTTTTCTCTTTGATCACGCTATTGTTGAGTAAAGTCAAGAAGAGCCAGTTTGGGATTTTTGTTAAAATGTTAAAAACGTTTTTAATAGTAGAGCTATTATAAAAGTGTTGTCAGTAAAACGCAGTTAAGCGTTTGGTGACACATTGTATAAAACATTTTTTATACTTGAAGCACTTTTAAATTTGTTTAGTAATAATGTTGCTTAAAGTACTTTTATTACTAATTTTACTATATTACCCTTACACATATACTAATTCCCTAATATTAAATATTATAAAATTTCACTTAGTTCAATAATTTATAAAGATCAACTTGTATTGGTATTTTTATTTATTTTTTATTTTTTATAAATATCACATTTTGTTTATGATATCGAATTTGTATTGAGTACTAAAATATAAATGAGTTAAATATATTTTAATGATGATTAATTTGTATCTGATTTGGGATCTTCTAGTAATAAAATAAGCAAATTTGTTCATATGCTATCTAATAATGAAATTTAATAATTTAATATTTTGCAATATAGACAACATTTCATAAAATAAAACTAAACACTTTAACCACAATTAATAATCTTATTACTTGTTATTTAAGATAATAGTATAAATGTATTATAGTTATTTTAAAAGCAAATTACAAATCATAATTTATTAAAAATTAAACATCTAACAATTATATAATTCAGAGTCCCAAAATAAACTGAGATTGGAAGGCTGGAGAGTCGCAAAATAAATTAGGATTTAGTATGTTACAGAGTCTATATTGTTTGCTATTTGTTTGTAGAATGAATACAATTGTATTTATAAAAAATATAAAGGGATTAAATTGTCTAAAAGAAAATTAGTTACCTAAAAATATGGACCTCTAGCTTAACGCAATTTTAAAAGCTACGATTCTTAATTTCACTTAAATGAGCTTTTTAGACCTAACCTCTACCATTTATAAGAGCGTTTTTTTTTTTTTCACCAAACATATTGCACTGCGGTTTTTTATAATATAAGTGTTTTTCAGTAGTAGAGAAGCAATCCCAAACACCCACGAAGTTTGAAAAAGTATATATCATGTTCCTTCTTGAACTTTTTTAAGACTTGTAACCATTCATTTTATTTTTGATGCATGTTATTTTTGTTGAATAAAATATCTATTGGACAAAATAATAATAAAAGTACTAAAGGAAATAAAGAAGATAAAAATATATATAAATTCCGTTTGGTCAAAGGGATGGAAAAAATGGATGGAAGGTAGATAGGGAGGGACGGATGAGATCTTTATAGGGACGAAGAGGTGTCTCTCTCACTTTTTATTTAGTTAAATGAAATGAATAATAGTAGAAAAGAATGATGAGGTGCACAATTTTTTATTTTTTTATTTTTTTAGAATGAAAGAAGGAAATAAGTGGTTTTATATTTTTCTACAAATATATCCTCATTATGTCGAAGAGCATTTCAATAGTAATTAACAATTTAATTAGTAAATAACTAAAGGTTAAATTTGGTATTACATTTTTCTTGGTTTGTTAGTTATTCTTATTTTCCCTACTCTTTTCTATCCAATTTTGGACAAATGCTTCATCCCTCCATACTTTCTATCTCTCTTTCCTAACCTCCAACCAAATATGAGAAACATCATTTATCCCCTCTCTCATCACTCCTTTCCCAACCAAATATTGTATTAAATTTTTTATTGAAAAGAGTAGTCATGGTGATACACGCACAAAACTTGTTATTTTATATTTAAAAATAAATATTTAGTTAATAATTTTATTAGTTAAATGTTTTTATCTTTGTCTTTTGTGTTTTATAGGGGCTAATTTCAAAATGAGGATAAAAGAAGCAAAACTGACAAAAATTTGAGAATTTATGGATGCTGAAAGGATGAGAGTTTATTATTAGCTGAAAAAAAATATCAAAAGCATTGCATGAGAGATGGTTGAGTGCATAACCAACTTTATAAGATGTTTCAAGTTTAATACTTCATTTGGTAGGATGAAAGAAAATTGGATGGAATGGAGAGAAGAAGAGATAAATGATACATCCATTAGGAGGAAATTCTTCCCTTCCCTTTTTTTGTTTGGTTAGATAAAAGAGAAGAGAATAAGACAATACCGTATTTTGTTTGTTAGGAGAGAAGAAAAGAGAAAGTGCTAATTATAAGGAAATTTTTGTAATTTAAAAATATTTATAATAGCCTTGCCTTTTTTCCTTTGTGTCTTCGATCTATATTTGGAGGGATGAAAATTTGTGAAGTATGAAGGATGACTCATTCATCCACTTTTCTATTTTCTCCTCGTCTTTTCTCTATCAAACGAAGGAAATAATTTTCTTCTTTTCTATCTTCCATCCACCCGTCTTCCTTCCTTTCTACCAAACGGAGCATAAGACTTAATTGCAGCACAATTGTTTTAATTGTTATACATGACCAGTCAAATTCAAATTCAAAATTGGCACTCCATCAAATCATCAAATATCAATTCAAATTGTAAAGTAAGAAGATTTTTTTTTTTTTTTTTTTTCATTTTCCCTCCTTTATTTTGATTTTCAAATTGTTTCCTTTTTCCCTCCTAACTTCTCCCTTCTAAACCCTATAAATAGGGACTCTTAAAATAAGGGAGGATATGTAGAGATGTAGAGAGATACGGAAGAATAGATTAGAGTTAGAGATAGCTTTGTATTGTCTTGCATATTTTTTTTGTAATTCTTTTCTTATACAATGAAAAACATTTTTATTAATGTGTTGTTTTTCTTGTTAATACATATGCTAGCATAAACATCCCTCTCAATGAAGTGATGAAGCCACCATGACTGAAATATAAATGAATTTATTTTATCTCTTGTATTAATTTTCCTCTTTAGAAGATTTCTTTCATTATTTTATTATGAGTTTTATATGCAAAAAAATTAAATTGAAGATTCTTCGTATTTACCAAATTATGGTAATTCAGAAAACTCCTACCTCTATTCACCAAAGATATACCAGATTAAGTAAAAATATATATATATGCTCTAACCAAGTGTTATTTAACGTTATATTTTTCTACATTTTTTCAAGTTGCAATTGGACTGGTGAAGTGATTGGCTTATTGAATGAAAAAATTACATAACATAAATAGGAAATCTATTTATACGAATTCGTGATGGTGGATTCTCTTTCCATGAGAATTTTGTTTTTCATTATTTGATCACAGATTTTTATTATTAGTTTTTATTAATTTCATTGTTCAAAATTCAAATTTTGTTTTAAAATATTCTTTTTTCATCCCATAAATTCTGATTTTGAAAGTGAGTTCATAACAAATTTTCGCTTGAGAGTTGTTCGACCCTACTTATCATTATACATTTTTAATTAAGTGTATGTGTTTATGCAAGAATCTGTACGCTCCGGAGCCCTTGGCGATTCCTGCAAGACAAGAGAAGTGATGTCCGGCGTGGTGCCAGCCGGGTGCACTCCGACAGTCAAGTTAGTACCTGACGATTCAATATCCGATAAGGATTACATATGAAATTTATCGCGTACCTTTTTAGGTTGACCGATCACTTCTTTTATAGAAGGACTAATGGTAGTAGTGGTTGAAGCGAGATTCTCCCCGATCTAAAATGATATCGTTTCCTTCTTATATGAATGGTAACTGTCGTTACATATGGTAACCAGAGATTTTTTATGATTCCATAGGGATTTTGGGGAGGATAAATCCTTTACCCTTATCTTATCTCTCATTTGAATTTGAGTTGTTCCTTATCTATACCATTTGAATCTCCATGTCACTTGAAATTCTTATATAGTAGAATATTTCGTATCAATAGCCCCCCATTCCCAAAATCTTGCTTGTCCAGTGTCGGGAATGCCAAGTCCTTGCAAGCTAAGCATGCCTGATGATTACTTTCTTAGATTTGCTCGAGCTTTATGAGCTCACCCTTTAATAAGGGAGTAGTTAACCCCTCGTCTCTTTAGTAAATGAATAAGTTTTAATTATCTCACCCTTCTGTGTAGAGGGAGTAGTCGGATTCTTGTCCCTTTAATGAGGGAACCTTTAATAAGGTGTAGTCGGTCTCGCATCCCTTTAATAAGGTAAGTAAATTAATACGAGTTTCACTCAGCTCACCCTTTAACAAGGGAAGTAGATTACTATGAACTTTACCCAGCTCACCCTTTAACAAGGGAAGTAGAGTACTATGAGCTTCACCCAGCTCACCCTTTAACAAGGGAAGTAGATTTTCCAAGCTTCATGAACTTATCCTTTTACTATGGGGAGGTTAATCCTTATGAGTTCTTTTTAATAAGGGAGATTAATTTCCCTAAGCTTCTTGTTACTTAAACTCTCCATAGGATTTTGAATCCTATATTATGTACCCCCATTCCATTCTCAAGCTTGCTTGTTATGCATAAGGAACGCTAAACTGTCTATGTTTTCTCCTATTTGCCAAGTTAGTAAAGCAGTAACAAAGA